CGACCGACCGACCGACCGACCGACCGACCGACCGACAGACAGACAGACAGACAGACAGACAGACAGACAGACAGACAGACAGACAGAAACACAGACAGACAGACCGAAACACAGACAGGCAGACAGAAACACAGACAGGCAGGCAGGCAGGCAGGCAGGCAGGCAGGCAGGCAGGCAGGCAGGCAGGCAGGCAGGCAGGCAGGCAGGCAGGCAGGCAGGCAGGCAGGCAGGCAGGCAGGCAGGCAGGCAGACAGACAGACAGACAGACAGACAGACAGACAGACAGACAGACAGACAGACAGACAGACAGACAGACAGACAGACAGACAGACAGACAGACAGACAGACAGACAGACAGACAGACAGACAGACAGACAGACAGACAGACAGACAGACAGACAGACAGACAGACAGACAGACAGACAGACAGACAGACAGACAGACAGACAGACAGACAGACAGACAGACAGACAGACAGACAGACAGACAGACAGACAGACAGACAGACAGACAGACAGACAGACAGACAGACAGACAGACAGACAGACAGACAGACAGACAGACAGACAGACAGACAGACAGATAGATAGATAGATAGATAGATAGATAGATAGATAGATAGATAGATAGATAGATAGATAGATAGATAGATAGATAGATAGATAGATAGATAGATAGATAGATAGATAGATTGATTGATTGATTGATTGATTGATTGATTGATAGATAGATAGATAGATAGATAGATAGATAGATAGATAGATAGATAGATAGATAGATAGATAGATAGATAGATAGATAGATAGATAGATAGATAGATAGATAGATAGATAGATAGATAGATAGATAGATAGATAGATAGATAGATAGATAGATAGATAGATAGATAGATAGATAGATAGATAGATAGATAGATAGATAGATAGATAGATAGATAGATAGATAGATAGATAGATAGATAGATAGATAGATAGATAGATAGATAGATAGATAGATAGATAGATAGATAGATATATTAGATAGTTAGACAGACAGACAGACAGACAGACAGACAGACAGACAGACAGACAGACAGACAGACAGACAGACAGACAGACAGACAGACAGACAGACAGACAGACAGACAGACAGACAGACAGACAGACAGACAGACAGACAGACAGACAGACAGACAGACAGACAGACAGACAGACAGACAGACAGACAGACAGACAGACAGACAGACAGACAGACAGATGGCTTAGTGAATGGATGGATAGTTGGAAATGTTGAATGAGGTAATCAGGATGGACGAACGCATGGATATACGGATTGACATACATTAACAGCTACACAGCGATACAAGCAGAAAAACCCAGAGACAGATGCTTACATACCTAATAGTAAAACAAAACAAAAAACATACTATAGCCCTTGACTCTCTAGGGTCGTGGAGATCTATGGATGGCAGCACTAGCACACAAAACTCAGAATTCTTCTCTATGTTGTGCTTGCTGGGCCACTATATATCATTCAGTTATATCATTCAGTCTTGTCTATTTCTTGATGTTATCATCCAGATTCTTCTTTGCCTCCGCATCCTTCTATGTCGACCCCTCCTCCCCCCCCCCCCCTCCAACCTCTTTCCCCTGAAGTAGTCATTGCAATCGAATCATGTCTTATCACGTGCTGGCACCAAACCAACTTGCGACGTTCCACCACTGCCCATTGAAGCTCCTGATGTGTCCTGCGAATTTGATTATTTTGACTATTAAGTGCTTGTTAATTTATATCTAAATAGCTAGTATCTAAAATTCGTCTATAGAATTTTATTTTGAAAAGCCGGAATGCTCCTTTCTATTTCCGCAGCAAATTTTCACATCTAGAGGAGAAGACAGACAATATCAGTGAATGTGGATATATTGACCTTTACTGCTATGCTGATTTTGAACTTCAACATCTTATTCACATCAAGTCTTGTCTTTGTCTCTTTGGTACAACTGCTTTCGTTAAGCTTTTGTTCGTCCATCACGAGGGAAGTAAAGCAAACCAAGTATTGGAACAGCTAGCCCCTTCTTACAGCATAAGACAATCCCAATCAGTACAAAGAGACATCTTATTCAAAGCATATTTATTCCAACTCTGTGCTACCAGTGCCAGACATGGTCACTCACAACAAACCATAAAAGAAAATTAGTAACCACGGAAATGAGATGTCTGAGAAGGGCTGTAGGAGTGACCATAAGAGATAAGATCAGGAATGAGATCATAAGAGAACAAGTCGGCACAGAACCAATTCTGGATTACATACAAAGACAGCAAGTGAAATGGTTTGCCCACTTAGAGAGAATGCCTTGTGACACCATACCATACAAAGCACACATGGAAAGAGAAGAAGGACGTAAAGCACGGGGTAGACCAAGAACAAGATGGAAGGATAACATCAGAGAAACTCTACAACAGCACGATGTGCCTATGGTCGAGGCAGCCAGAAGAGCTAGAAACAGAACCTTATATCTCCCTCGACACCCACAGCGGTAAAAGAGGAAGTGAAGAAGAAGAAGAAGATCACAAGGGATTAAGACCACTATCATCCAAAGTAGTAATGATCAATGATTATGGGTACGAAGGTGGCTAATTAGTCCAATATGAGCCAGGAAAGTTCTTGAGCAGTGCAGACAACAGATGGAAGCCCCAGTGAGTGTGGAATTAGCAGTACGATTCTTTCTAGTCTGCTTCTGTTTCTCTGCCTGTGCAACCTCCGCTGCCTGGTAGGTTGATGCAAAATGCCTGAGAGACGTACGCCATCCAGAACAGTCTTGTGCAGCAGCCTCCCACGTCTCTGTGTTGATGCCAAAAGAGTTGAGAGCAGTCTTGAGAGTGTCCTTATGGCGCTTTTTCTGTCCTCCCTTTGACCTCTTCCCTTGCTAGAGCTCGCCATAAAATAAACTCTTTGGAAGGCGATATTCTACTTTCGTTACATACGTGGGAGCCAAGGTTTTTTAAGGTTTCGCCTTCTTCTACCCCACCCCTCCCCCCTTACCTTTTTTTTATTTTAAATTTTTAAATTGGTAGGTACTTGACTATTTACAAGTATCTTGCTTTTCTCGGTATTAATTTCCTTGTCATATTCACCACAGAGCGTCTCTAATCGTGTTGTAAGTTCACTGAGAAGGGGATTTGTCCGTGGCTGGTGAGCACCAGATAGCAGCTGTCCTGCATTCATGTATAGTTAGTTGCCTTTTGCCTTAGTATATGTACCTCAGAACCATGTAAAATCGCCCCGGGACTATCCCAGAGTTCTGCTCTTCAATGTGTATACAAGCAGGATTGCAGAACTTGAAGAACCAGGTGTCGCAAAGGTACTGACATTTGCAGATTATGTTCTTGCATATAGGCATGGGAGTGATAGGCAACAGACAGACCAACAGCTACAAGCAATTGCTGACAAAGTGACTGACTGGTGTGAAGAGATGTGTGCTATCGTCAACTCAGAAAAAAGGCTGCTGTTGAATGATGCTCTCTGAACAAAAGAACTGTAAAGGCCAATATTCCAAGCCTCATAATTAATGGCAGAAACATCAAAAGAGAAAGAAAACTGAGGTACCTGGGTATCATTTTTTAAAGAAGTCTGTCCTTCAGGGATCACGTGGAGGCAGTTGCGGTGAAATGCCAAAAAAATGCTCTCAATATTGAGGCAGCAATGGACATGGAACAAAGAATGCTGCTCACAGTGTTCCAGCATGTGATCCTGTCGGTGATAGATTACGGACTTGGAATGCTTACCAAATCAAGGAGTCAGCTGATGAAACTTGAACGCATACTAAATAAAGCCATACGGGTAATTCTGAGGTGTACAAGAGATAACCCAGTATTATTATGCGATACTTACTTACACTGCCTATATTGCATTCAGGTTCGAAGTTATGCACGCAAAGTCATATCAGAGTAACTGCAGACAAAACACACCTCCTGTATAAAGCCCAGGCAGAGTAAGGGGTCACAGACTGAAAAGAGGAAGGTCTTGGATGGCGCAAGCTGAAGATACAATTAGACATTTGTGCAGGGTTGATAAATTTGGGCGAGGTAAGGAGTGGGTCAAAGTGTCTGAGCAAGTTTCAGACATGTGTAGGGTTCTATTCACTTTAGGTCGTGAGTGCAGGGACTGCAGAATCAGAAGTTCAATAAATGTTTCACGACAATTCCTGCCCAAGTGATATGATTGATTATCTATCCATATGCCTATGTGTTGAGAGGCAGAAGTGCATGGGGTTCATTGCAAAAGCGAGTGGACGTCGCTTAGTGCAGCAAAGCCTTGCATATGATATCACAACGTCTAGTTTCATAATGGAGGTGGAGGCAGTCACCTCTGCCTTCCGCTGGCTTCAGAACCAGCTGTTTGTGTAAACATGTAATTTAACTGACTCACTGAGAATGTTGAGAAAGGTGGAGACAAGCTTGTTCCGTGCAGAGTTATAAGCTTCGCTTCAGAGTTAGCGTCCTTTGAAAATTTTCTTCAGGTCAAGCCGGTGTGTGGGAAACCAGCAGGCTGACCGGTTCTGCGCCGCTTGGGGAGGGGGGGGGGGTGAATTGATGTATGATAAGATATTGTGAGGGCTCTCTGGAAGCGAGTGAACAGTGCGGATGCACAAATAGATCATTACGGTCTAAGGAGAATGGCGCTACCAGGCAATCTGACCGATACTCAACACTCAAGGGAAAGGCGAGACGGATATACAATCAGACGTTTACTGGTGTCATCGGAATTAGAACTCTTCGCTTGCTGCTGAAGATGGAGACGGAGCGCTTATAGAAGTGTCCCGAGTGCTGTGATGTCAATTATTAATTCAACATTCAAGTTTTACGAAACGCAAATTACGTAGTGGTCTTCGCCAATGGATATAGACGTTTCATGTGTTTCTCTCAGCCTACTGTACAGACAGATTGATCAACGTAAATTCAGACAAGTTATACAAACTAACCAGTCTTAGCATGGACCACGTGAACAAGCTACAACTTACCTCTGAGAGACGATGGCTAGACAATCCCTTGGTCCGCACAAAGAAGCTTGAATTGACCCTTGATAGAATTGACGATAAACTAAACTTGACCGTTGGCTTGAGAACGTCAAAATAAGTGGAGAAATGCATGCCTTTGGAGGACACATTGGGAACTATCATTCTAGCCAGGGCCGTACCGAGTTGCGTAATGTTCAAATTCTCATCGAAAACAACATGGAAGGGAAAACAGTCACAAAAAGTGCGGACTCCGATCTTGGAATCATTAGGGTCCGTGGACATATTAACACTGTAACGAAACAGCTGGTTTGCGGAGTTTTCGTTGTTGGAGTTGGTGATGAAGAAGATGTGATGCGGAGAGGTCAGACTTCTGCTGGGGGAGATCTCTATTTGAAGGTCGGTGCTGAAGAGGAAGCGGGAGACGCCATCGACGATGCCGGCAACGAAGCTGACGATGGAGTGGCGCAGAGAGTAGAAGTGGAGAAGCAGCTTATCGTCCTTTCTCTCGCAGCGGAAGGATGGGGGTTGTTGGCCCTGGAAGCGGGGATATGCCTTCACCTGTGGAAAACAGTTAAAGGTAATAATGCATCATGAAAAGGAAACTTCTAGTACGTAACAAGGTCACCGGGAATGATTCACAGGATTTTTAATTGTTAATGAAACAGAAGCATTTAATAGTTATAAACTAGATGCCAATAAGAAAGAGACAAACACTGTTCTTTGGCCACATAATGAGAAGAGAGACAATGGAGAACATTGTGACAACTGTAAAGATCAATAGAAAGAGGGGTATGGGCAGACCAAGAGAAATGGTGCTGGATGGGCTGAAACGATGGCATGGAGGGATATCATCAAGAGAGGGGCTTTAGTCAGCATGAGCGCCCACGCCGGTTGGCAGGGCACATGATGATGATGAAAGTAGATGCATCTTAAAATTACAGAAATGCTCAATGTTTCGTGTGATCCATGAGTCTTAAAAGGGCGCTGGGAAGATCGGGAACATCCAACATTTTAAAGAGAGGGTCATCAGTTGTAACTGTATCTCTGGGCACTATTCAGAAGATGTGACAAGAGACTGAACACCGCCTAGACATTATCAGAGCTCCAAACAGAGCCCATATCGATGTACAGTGAGGTAAGCTGAACCTGTATTTTTCTGGAAATTTCAACTCTACATGTTTATCCGTTCAATACTTCTTTTATAATAACAGTTTATAAACCTGACAATCTTTCTCGATCATCATCATCGTCATAATTAACCACCTCTGTCGTTAATATGCATGGGAGGACTCATTTGCGATCCAGCGCACGCTGGCTGGCACGGGCTATTGTCATGCCGTGAAGGCGTAAAGTGTCTTTGATATTAATCCATTTTTTTCGCGGCCGTCCTCTTGCTCTTGTAGCCGATCCTCTAAAATGTAGGGCCTGCGATGGTTTTTGATATTGCTGAATTCTAAGGAGAGAGCCAAACCCATTGATGTGCTTCTTCCTTTTTTTTTTCTCCTGGAGTAGATCTGCTGTTTCTCGATTAATCTAAAAAAAGGTCGTTCCCACTATTATCTGATAGCATCATTATTATTTACTTATTATTATTTACTCGATTTTTTTAATGGTTTGTCTATTATTTACATTTTGAATTATATATTATGGAACGCCAGTACTGTCTTAACGCAGAGGCCGTTTGGAACTTTCTTGGAGGCCCCACGAGCATAGGGGTCACGTGCTAATTTCTGAATGTCACGTGACCATTTCCATTTAATGCCTGTGAGTGGTTGTCGTTGGGGTCCCAGCACACTGGTTTATCCAGGGACATATATTGCTCGGGGCTGGGCATCAACATCTTTTAAGTGCTTAGATCATCAAAGGGTCCTTCCTTATCTGGTCCTGGCTTTAGATAATGTAATTATTCTCGATTATCGAGCGTTATCTGCACCTGTTCACCTTTCTACACACCGGCGTTTCCGTGTGCTATAGAAGCATGAGCATCCCAGCCTATGACAAGTCCAAATGCCCGGCTCTCTAGCGAAGTTGATTAAACCTGACTTTCGCGGCGGCCGGGTGACGAACTTCTTGTGGTCCGGGTTTACTCCCGGGGGGTAGGCATCAAAAGCCTTCATTACCTCCCAGATTTAACGGTACCTATAATGGAATCAATGCCGAAGGGTTGCGATATCCATAATACCGAGCCAAAGGGTTTACAACTCATGGTTTCTGGATACGTTAAAAAAAAAAAAATGACAAGTCCAAGAAATTGACCTAGTGAACTGTGACTAAAGAGCATAACGAAATGGGGAATTAGAACAACATACACAAAACACCCAGTCGTCCTTAGTTTAAACCCCTGGAAAAAGTTCAACCTTCTATAGCACATATCCTGGGCAGTGTTGTAAATTAGGGCTTCAAATGACAACCTTAAAAGTGTGATAGAAATCGCAACAACAAATCTATTCTCTTGTAACTTGTCAATATTGTTGTTAAGAATGTCAAGAGTTCCGTGACAGACAACAACCCGGTATGCCTGACTCGGTTGTGATGAGCCTGTCACACAGCAGTCGCGCCGTTTTGGAATTTCCTTCTCCACTCATACACTTTTCGTAATGCCGGGATGTCGGGTTTGATCCCAGCTGCAGACAAGGCGCCTTGCGTTGGTTTCGACAGTGGTGTCAAGAAAGCCGACCGTCCGAAAAGCAATGGCTAACTACTGGACGTAAATTTGCCTTAAAAAACCACACAACAACCAGGGGCTATTGGGGGTCGGTTCTGCAACGTCCTGTAAAGGATACGCAACTAACCTAACTCATACACTTTCTTAACAGGCATCTTACTAGATTTTTATTTGCAGATGAATTTCGATAGGTTTCACCCCTTTACTTACTAAAAAAAATACAATAATAACAGAACACTGCTCATCGTTGGGGCATGACAAAAGAGGGACAACCATATTTGTCACCAAAAACGCAGCACGTTACAATTTTCATATTTTTATGTTCGCAACCCCCCCCCCCCCACCCCCACCCCCAATCATCCCTCAGTGAGGTTCGAACAAGGGTCTCCTGAATGAGGTCTCATGAATGACAACCCCGCAGTCTGACCAGCAGAAAATGAAGCATAGCCAGTCAATTACAGCAAAAACTACAAGAAGAAGTTACACGTCGAAAAATCTGTTAGGAAACACGTATAAAGTAGGGGGAAAAAACAGTATATACACACCTTCCCCCCTCCCCCCTTCCACCGCCCTTTTTTAGTGGGTTTCTTTTCGCCGAAGCGCGCCACTTTTTGTAGACAATTTTGTGGTTTCGCTGATTAAAAAAAACAGTTACACGTTTAAATTTTTTTAAGATTTCTGGATGTCTTGAAAAAAAAAAGCAATTCTTTGAACAAATACAAACGGAATTAATCACTGCAGAAGGCAGTGTGATGGAGAAATGTGGCAAGAAAATTGACGATTTTTTTCCTGGGTCATATAGATCCTGACAGGTTGTGGGATGTGCTGCGCTGGTGTTAGGGTGTCGAGGATCTTGCGAGTTGAGCAATTCTCAAGATGTCCTGGGGTCTGAGTTGCTGATGGAATCGTTTAATTTGTTGAAACAGAAATGAGGGAGGACACGTAGTTGTGACCGTATTTTTGATTCTCATTTTTAATTCTCTCAAGTTTTTTTTAAAATTTTGTACTTAAATTTTAATTTGCCCTAAACAAAGGAAACCAGGAACCTCCTGGGAAAGTCCAATATTCTAGGGGTGTTATGGTTTAAAATGAAACTTGTGGGACAATACGAAGAGAACGCCTGCGAGAACTGGCACGACAATGAAACCGATTTCTGTCAGCCCTTACCGGCTCTGAGACACAAACTAACCATAACACTAACTCCCAACCCATAACACCCTTAAAATATTGGAGGTTCCTGGGAACTCCTGGATTTCCTTTGTCTGATGTGAATTAAAGTAAAAGTAGTTTTTTTTTTTTTTAAAAGATACAAGTGACGGAAGTAGGAAATTTCAGTTTGAATTGCAATCATTCTGAAGATCAGTTAATTACGAACTCTGATGGAATGTGCCCGGTAGATAAAACAACATGTGTAAGACTTCTTGAGTTCGGATTTACTATTAAAACTACAGTAGAAAGGATCGACGTCATTTCCCAGGGTTGTTCCCTATGGCTCATCCTATCTCCACAGAACGGTTATCCGCCTGCTGAAAGCACAAATTCCGTAGTTCCAGACTCGATCCCCGGGGATCAACGTAAAAACTTTACTCGCGAACTAAATTACGCGTGCAGGAAACAAACGTAAAACCTTCAGAGCATGAGGAAAACAGCCTGATCACTTCAACAAAGAGACCCTGACATTTGAAGTCAAGTTCCCCCTGTGGGTTCATTGTAGCCCATTGTGGAGAACAAAGAATAGACCCACAGAAAGAGAGACAGAAAGTGAGAGAGAAAGAGGCAGAAAAGTGAGAAAGAGAGAGGCTGAGACACATAAAAAAAAGAGAGAAAAAGAGAAAGAGAGGGAAAAAGAAAGAATAACAGAGACAAATAGAAAGAGAGAGAGAGAGAGAGAGAGAGAGAGAGAGAGAGAGAGAGAGAGAGAGAGAGAGAATACGAGAGAGAGAGAGAATACGAGAGAAAGAGGAATATGAAAGGAGAGATGGAGACAGACAGGCGTATGCACAGACATAGGGCAGCAATTATGGACAGGATGGTTCGATTGGCTGTGACAAACTAATCAACAGTCTATCTTCGTCTGGGTTTCGGGATCTTATCTTATTGGGCTGGTGGAAAGCGGAGTAGGGGTAGGGTTGGACCTATTAGCCCTTTAATAAAACATGATAATTAGGTTTTTGGTAAAATCAAAGGTGTAAGGCGGAAAGTCGTAGATATCGCAGCCTAGCTGTGAACTACAATATAACGTGCCAATTTCCACTCCCGGCCATTTGTTGATAGTACGAAAGCAGAATAATAGTAATAATAAGAATAAGAAGAAGAAAAAGAAGAAAAAGAAGAAGAAAAAGAAAAAGAAGAAGAGTCACACAGATGCTCGCAAACACATGAAAAAATACACAGACATTGATACAGACACGCGAAAAAAATACACAGACACTCACATAGACACACGAACGGACATACACACACACACACATACATTCACACAAACACACAGACACTCACATAAACACGTCCCACACAAATACACTCCCACAGACAAACGCAGATACAGACACAGACACACCCACAAACACAGACATGCGCAGACATTCAAACAGACAAACACATAAACAAACATCCCACTACTTAGGAATTCCAGAGAAATTAGACTAAAAAGCTCAACAAAATGGGAAAGCAGAAAAACGTGCACAAAATAACACAACGTAACGTTTCGGCCGGGCAGCCTTTTCCAAACATAAGTAAACTACCGTTCCGATCTATTTAGGATGAATTTTGTTGTTGTTTGAAGCCCCACCCTGGCTTTTACCAGGGGCCGCAATATTGGCAGGATATAAATATGGCCAGTTGTCTGAACGCGGTTTCTGGGACCTCTCCGAGGTGATCCTCATCCACATGG